TTTTGAAATGTGATGTTAATTCAGTTCTTGTCACAGGAACTTACTATACCGTAGATTTTATCTGAGAGCTGGTCCCATTGTGTGCAACTACCCAAAGGAAAGCTTCCATGGGGTACAAGGGTGTGTCGGTAAACATTCCACCTTGCTACATCCAAGAAGAATTACAATCGCCTCAACCACTTCAACTATGACTGAAAACCCAATGGGGGGCCAAGGCAAAGGTGTCAAGCCATCATCCATAAATCTTAACCCTGCCAACAATGGTTAAATAAAGTCCAGTTATTGTACATCAAGTAATTTAGTAACCATTGCTTGCAATTCTACCAGACTGGGTCAAGGCAAAGGGTCATGGTAAGATGGTGGAGACATATGCATTCCTGAACTCTGAGTTAAAACATGTCGTTTTGCAACAAAAACCTTTTGGAGAAGCTGAACTGAAAAGGAACTAAAACGAAGCAGTCACTAACATCCCAGCATGGTGAAAACGAGCCAATTGAATGCTCCCTAGTCAGTTTGGAAGTCTTTGATTCAAGCAAGAAAACCACAGTGCAGCTGCCAAAGATCTACTCAAAGCCAAGCCTGCCTATCCTCCATGATGCTATCACCTGGCAAGAGGATATCGAGAGATTTTTGCCACTGAAATTGTCTCCTAATTGGTAGTGAGGTACCGAAGACTCTACAACCTAAAGAAACGAGACCAAGTGACGATGGTGGTCCCTTTGCTACTCAAACAGTCTTAGGCTAGATGCTTAACGGCCCGTTGGGAAGAGCGGTCATGTCTAAACGTACCTTGCGAACCTTGATGAAGAATTTCATGAGTTTTGCGATACCTTCTATGAATAAAAAACTTCTGCCACTCAATGACCAGAGGGCCCTGAAAATCATGGAAGAAACAGTTAAACTAAAAAACGGCCACTACAAAATAGCTTTAACCTGGAAGTTCCACCTGCCATGCCTACAGAACACTAGCAAAGCATCAACTCCTCCAGTTGAAAAGGCAACTGCTAGGAGAACCATTCATCCATCAAAAATACAAAGGGTTTATGGACAATCTGCTATCTAAAGATTATGCCAAAAAGGTGAATAGTCAAGGCCCTGGCCCTCTAGGAACCCACTGGTGTCTCCCTCATCACCCTGTGTTCAACCCGCGGAAACCTGGTAAAATGAGAGTAGCCTTTAATTGTTCAGCCAAGCATAATGGCACCTCAATGAATGACCAGCTCTTGTGGGGGCCAGACCTAACTGACTCTCTTGTTGGTGTGGTAACCAGATTCAGAGAGGATTAAGTAGCCTTAATGTCTGATGTGGAAGCATTGTTTCACCAGGTATTCATCTGGCCAAGTGACTGCAAAGCTCTGAGTCTCTTGTGGTGACCAGACAGAAATCTCAACAATCAACCAGAAGAATACCAGATGATGGTTCGTCTGTTTGGAGACACATCCTTCCCAAGCTGCGCAAACTTTGCATAGAAGAGAACAGCAGAAGACAACAGAAGACAACAAAGAAGATTTTGATCCCCTAACATTGAAATTGTAAAGTGCAATTATTATTATTATGCAACAACTGGTACATCAAGAAGGTCATCTTTCTTTGAATCTGTCATGGATTAACCAATCAGTGCATCTAGACCAAAACAGGTTTAATTTGACTCTTCATCAACAAGCTTGATGAAAAAAGTACAAAGATATAGACTAATAAATCTCACAAAGTTTTCCTCAACTATCTCCAGCCCACATGAGTGTGAGGAAGGTCAGATCTATTACTTAATAAGTTATGTGTAACATGTGGTCAACTTCCATTGTTCTGAACAGTTCTCAGCAATTTTTTTAACTTTGTACAGTTTCTGTTTGACTGCAGGCGTAAGACATTAAATACATAGTTGTTGATTTATTTTTGCTCTAATTTAGGTTACTTTCTATATTGAATAATTTTTTCTTTGCTTTTTGCCTGTTCAGTGTTTATATGTACACTGATTTCCTTGAGGTAAGTGTTTTTCACATGAAAAAGCCAGTTGGAGGACCTCACCACCTCTTCAACACACAAATAAAGCAGATTCAGAGATACCATGGTCTGGACATTACACAGAACATTCTGTCAACCCAAGTCCATCTAATAGAAATAAATGTAGCTGTTTACACCGTGAAAAAGAATATTATCACTATCTTACACCACTCTATCCAAGCTTAAGATTCAGCAAAGCAACACAGAGTTTGTCCTCCTGACAAGAACTCCTGGTGTAAGAGACAACAAGATCTAGTAACAAGAATGTTGACCTATAAAAGGAATAACTGTCTGCCCAAGGTCTTTTTGGAATTGTTGCACTCCACCTTCAAGACATTAAGTGAAACAAAGCTCTAGGAATGGTGTGCACATGGTATTATACAGAACTGAAATCAGTGCATCAATTCCCTGGTTTAGTTTCAGTACCCAAATACATGTATTTTTACCCAAACATTTTATTTTTCATTAGTTTGTATGCTTGCTAATTTTTAAAGCATGTAATGAAGAAAGTTTTAGTCGTAAATCATTCTATACTTTCTTGATAATTATTGCTATTAGTGTCCATCCTCATTAATTGTAAATTAACTCAGATTAGACTTCTAGGAGAAGAAATAAACTACTGTCTCTCCATGGATACTGGAAAAAGACAAAGAACCTTCAAGTCAGCCAACAAGTAAAGCATATCTAATTTAGACCAAGCATGCAGATGAGAAATTAAAGTAGAGAAGATATCATCTGTGAAACCTGCCTAATACAACAAATGCAAGTCAGGCATACAAGTTTATGCTTGTGGGCCGATCTGCACTAGCAAAAAAAGTTGTTCGTTTCGACAAAATTTCTGTCATCACCAACCATCTATCTACAAGTGCAGATGGTTTGTGGCAACTTGACAAATTTTGGCCAAAGCAGACTAATCTTCAAACTTACCGCCAAAAAAATTTCTCCCAGGTAAAAACTAGACAAAATCATTTAAATAGACAAAATTTCGTTTATCCTGTCATTCATATGTCATAACCTCTTTTAACCATATAAATTTAGCATCTCAGTTGTTTCTCGTGTTGCGAAACTAGATTTTAAAATTTTCACAGAGGACAAAATGAATCCTTATGGTTGAAATTTAAACTCAATGGCAAGCTATCCTTCTGAAAAACCGAATTCTGTAAGGTGCTGGAATGTCCCCCTTACAATGACCAGCTCAGCCATCCACATGTTGCAGGGAGATTTTTGGAGAATGGAGCAATTTTTCAAACACTTCAGTTTCCATTTGACAAAGTAGAAGCAGAAGAAGTCATTAAACAAACAGAGTCACAAACACAACCACAAGCCCAAACGACTGGAAGCAGTACTAAAGGAAAAGGGAAAGGAAAGGCTAGCTATGAAGAGTGGACAAACAAGGAGCAAAGTTTTCTGGTTGATCTCTGGGCTAAAAAACATGACCGTCTAGAAAGCAAGGATGCAAGGAAAGTTTAGCTTGAAATCTGCGATGAGTTGAAAGTAGTTAAAAGTGTTTTCTACGACAAAATAGACTGATTTCTTGGAACACGAGATATTGTTACCATGAAACACGTGGTCAAAGCAGGGACAAGCACCACTTCTCCATCTTCTCCAAGTGCAAACCCTCCAAGTGATCATGATGGCTCACAGCCAAGCACGAGTGGAACACCAAGTCCTCCAGGAAATGGCATTGCTACTAGTGGCACCAGTGGGACCAGCAATGAAATCTCTGATGCTGAAGTCAATCTGACCAGTCCCAGCAAACAGTGCTGGAAAGAAAGTGCACAACAAAGAGGACAGTGCCGACCGAAGACACCAGAGAGGAAGAGACAATTTCCATCAAGAAAAGCCTAGAATCCATAGAAAAGCAAGGCATAAAGCTTATTCATTTATGGAGTGTGCAGCAGAACCACAGCAAACAAATAGAAATGATGGCATCCTTCATGGGCTCTCTTCTGGAAGCCATAAAGGATAAAAAATAAATGCCTAGTAGTTTACCTTTTTATCAATGGACTGTTAAGTCTGATGATTTTATTTTATTACATTGCTTTTACTTTATTAATATCATTTTCAAGTAAGGAAACTGTTGTGATTACTATAACATGGTTTGATTCAGTTTACAATATTACAGAACAGTTTCGTCTTTTTGATTGTTTACAATCATAGGAATATATCTGAGTTCCATTTCAAATGATCAGACTTGATTTATTAAAATAATTTTAGAGTGAAGAACGGATCATGGATAACATGCTTTGATTAAATTTATTGTAATTTCAATCATTTAATGAAGTCAAAGTGTAAAAGTAAAAATTAAGAACACAACAGCAATTGTAAGCAATCATACCTTAACTCTCGATTTTTTTGTTTTTTTTTTAATAGTTCATTGAAATCGTACGGGTATGAATTTTTTGGACTCATAAATTACATTTTCATGATTGCAAAGAAAGAATATCAATAACAAGTTGTTCAGTCACGCATTTGCAACGTACTCTATTGACACACTTCGAACGTCATCCCCATCCCTTATAACATCATTGTTGTTGCTTTCATGTCCTTGAGCTTGAGGCTCATCATTTTCATCATGATTCCATTCGTCTTGATTCAGCAGACAAAAGTTGTGAAGGACTGCACAAGCAACAGGGATTTCATTGGCAAATGAAATCTTACTATCCAGCCGTTTCTCCAGTATACACCAGTGCTTTTTTAGTATCCCAAAAGCTCACTCTACAGCCACCCTGGCACCCAACAAAGCTTTATTGAAAGCTATTTCCTCTGGATCTCTCGTTGCTTCAGGAAATGGTTTTTGAAGCCAGGAGGCAAGTGGGTATGCGCTGTCTCCACCTAATCATTCCTGAGGTTGAAAAGGGCTTCCACAACATCTCGTACTGCTTCTAGAACAGTCTACCTTTTAACGTTAAAAACCAGCCCAATACTTTAGTACGAGTTGCTGTGATTTAGACAGTACAAACCAAGTACGAGAACTTTTTCTGGAGCAATGCAGTCATGCAATCATTCCACAAGTTACAGCCAGCTGCAAGACATTCAACAAAATATCAAAGGTACATCGGTTCATTCATAGTTGCTTTCTGAAATAATCCCCAGGAATCCTTTAGTCATTGTAGTGAGTCTCAAACCAAGACTTTTTGGAAGTTTCCAAAAGTATGGGTTGTGTCAATGTGCCCAGCATCTCTGTCTTCGACAGTATTCAATCGTTAAGAGAGCCTCTTGCTTTCGAAGATATTGATGCCTCAACAACAGGCACACCATAAGGAGTATTTCATCCGCCATCTGATCAATATTTACAAGACAGAGGAATGCAACAAGTAACAAAATTTGAATGCACTCCATTATCCTACCTGACAAAGTCTATGTTTTGGCGTGCAGCAGAATTGAATAAATTATAATGAAATATAATATTGACAATGTTAGCACAATTTGAAGACTTTAACCTTGTCAATGCGGATGCAACAGACAAAAGAAAAATTGTCACCACAAAATTTGTCCTTGGATTTTGTCATGGACAATTGCAATTTTGTCTGTAAGTGGGGATTGGCTCTTTCTTTGCCTAGTGCTCCTTTTTATTAACTAAATCCCCCCTGGGAGAGACTTCATGTGTCTGTATTAAATGCCAAGTTTAATGGTACCACTCAAGCACCGACCAAAGTACAGAACAGGGAACAATCAAACTTTCCAAAGACGGCTCACAAGAATTGAAAGAAAAAGATGCCCTTTTATACCATCTACATAACATAACATACTTTGTTTGCATGTAGGTCATTAAAAATGGCAGCCAAAAAGCGGATGTGGACCTACAAACTAAAATCTAAAAAATTAAGTGAAAGATAATATTTACAAACTAAATAAGCGAATTAAATTTAATTACAGTAAATAAAGTAAGGGAAAATCAGAAGTTTCAATAAATATAGTTTGCAGTGTCTTTCTTTGATCCCTGAATTCCATTGAAGGAGATATTATCTAAAATGTCACATTTTGCTTTGAGAGCTCATTTAAAGGATTCAATGTTAAGTGTGCTCTTTAAGAATGCAGGTAAGTTATTCCATAATATACAAGCTTGATGAGAGAAGGAAGAGCACAGTAGGTCACATTTGGGGCACTGCACGTAGAGTTTAAGGTTGTCTCTATGATATCTTGACAAGGAGTATTTCGTGAAGAGAGAAATAATACCAACTGAAGTGCTATTGTAGAAGGCTTGGTATCCTCAAGGAGCTGAAGTGACTTTGAGGATCTCCACAGAGCAATAGAATACGTAACACTTGGGACTACATGTATGTGTAGAAAAGCAAATTTCTAATCTCAACTTGTCATAAATATCAGCTTTACATAAAAGAAGTCTTTAGTAACTAAGATATGTACTAGCTTAGATCTTATACTTCAAATTTGATCATGAAAAGTTTAAAGATTATGCATAGTGTTAAATTTTTAAAAAAATCGCTGTTAATATCACACAATTCAGCTTATTAGCTGCATGGAATATTGTGCACATATTGTGTGCTTAATAACTCCATTTTACCTATCAGATCTTTCTCCAGCTAAGAATTCTACCAAAGTTAAGGCAACATTATGTAAATCTGGTCTTTTTCCACTCAAAAACTCAAATCAAATGAGACACTTATACAAGACTCATGGGGAATTTAATGCAGCTTTTTTTTTTTTAATTCCTTAGCTTTTTGTTCTGCAAGTCATGGTGCAAATGGTCAAATTGAAGACTTACCAAAAGCCTATTTGTAATAGGATTGAAAATTTCTGTCGCAACCGAACAGCAACATTTTGTTTAGCTTTAATATTTTTTGTCTTGTTTGTAGGCATTGCGTGCCATTGCTTGAGTGATATTCAAGTCATGTGATTTACACACCTTTGAAGTTGAGAAATGTACAAAAATAAATGGTTGAGTTCTAGAAAACATCCTCATTTTTGTGGTTGAAGTGCTTTACACAACAACCTTGCTTACAGTTTCACAATTAAGAATTTGTGGGAGCTGGGATAGTTCTACTAGAAGAGAAAATATCAATTTTGAATTTTTTGGCAATTGGTCAGCAAAATACAATGAAAACCTGTTGATCCACCTGTCCACAACCCCTAAAAATGCATGGTACTTGTCTCCTCAAATCCAGAATGAAATGATTGACCATATCGGTAATAGTATTCCCAGTTCTTTAATCTCCAAATTAAATAAATCAAAGTTTGTCAGTATCATGGCAGATGAGCCATCTGACGTATCGATGACAGAACAGATGGCAGTTTGCATACCATTTGTTAAAAAGGTCTGCAGCAAATGAAATTGCTGCACATGAATTGTCTCTTGATTTTGTGGATTTACCTGCCACTGCTTCAGCAATAATAACTGAATCACTTCTTGAGAACCTCAGCCAGTGGGGGATCCATCTTGATTGACTACTGGGAATGGGGTTTGATGGCGCTTCTAACATAGTGGGGCGTGCACAGGTGTCCAAGCAAGGATAACAAAGCACTATCCTAATGCAAGATACTTGATCCACTGCTCAAGTCACTGCTTGAACCTCGTCATTGTTGCCAGCTGCAATAAAGTACAAGAAATCAGGAACTTTGCGACAACATTTCAACAGCTGACCTTCTTTTCATGTTCTGCTAAGAGAAAGGGAATTGTAATTTCTTCGGTTACATTCATTAAATCTGCAAACCAGAGTAGCATCAAACTATGTTTCATAGGGAGATATTAGTCACTACTTCTGAAGTGGATGGCTTTTTGTCTGACTGCCCAAGAGAGGAGCATGAAGAAAGCTTATTCACAACGAGCCTGCACAGTGAGAGTCCACTAACTCGGAGTGATACCCAATGGCTTTCCTGGCCAGATTCTATTGGCATACTGTTAGCAAACTACCTGAAGATCTATGACACAGTTGCTGAAGTGGACACAATCCACAGGCAGGTCTTCAAATGACACCTCTAGCTTTCTTCATGCCATGGAAAAGTTTAGCTTAGGTAATTATTTCAGCAGTCCTAACTCAGCACATATTGGGGTATACAAGACCTTTTTCTGTCCTCCTTCAGTCGACAACATAAGATCTGATGAAAGCACACACAGAAGCCAAAAATGCATCAGGCTCATGCAAATACTCAATCAACTTCTGACTACTATAGGTATGTGTTGCCTGCCAAAAGAGAGCATGTATATTTTCATGTGTGTGTGCATGTGTGTTTTAATATATCCTTTTCTATGATTCACTAATTCTAAGTGGATGTGAAAAACATATTTTTTCTGTTTTTAAAGGTTGAATTATTACTGCCCCTTCCTGGATCAGGTAACCAAGCATATGAATGAATGATACACCCAGGGCCAGAAAGGTGCACTACAAGGTACACTGCTTATTCCTGCAAATGTCAGGAAACTAACCCCTGAGGAAGATGATCTAAAGAAAGAGTTTGCTGTGGAGCTCCCCATGCCCCAGATGTTTAAGCAAGAGGTGAGCCTTTGGTGTTTGATAGGAGTCAGCGATGTGATCATTTTTTTCTGTAGCCAACCAAAATGCAGTTTGAAAATCTGCATGGTTATGAATCGCTATAGTGTGCCATGTTAGGTTATACATCTATTTTCTTTCTTACTGCAAGCATTACAAAATGTTTTCTTTTGTCAGTAGAATCATTTGGGTTCACAGGTCACCCATTGGAATGACGTCCCATGACATAATCATGGCAGAGGAACAACTCTCATAAAATCTGTGGCTTGCTGCGATGAACAGTTCTTTCCGAACATATCCACCATTCTCCATCTAATTCTTACATTGGGATGCTAAAGGCCACAGAAGAATCACCCTTACATTCAATTACTGTATTTATTCGCCTATAAGCCGAGACCCTAAACTTTTTCATGTCAGCAGCTGTTGCATTGAAATAAAAAATAAACACAAGACATTCGGCTATAAGCCGAGACCTAATAATTGCGAAGTACTCCACGCGTGTCGTTAACTGAGATGAATTAGCATAAACCGAAAACAAAAGGAGCTTCCCTCTTGGGAAACATGCAACCAAAAAGTAGGTTATGAATAATTTAATGTGATCCGCGCTTACATGCTTAAAGTAAATAAATAGAACCATGCGTGACATAACAAAACATTCACCTGAGTTCAGAATCCTGTCTCAAACAATCGCTCTCTTTCAAAGTTATCGTAATCGATCATTATGCCGAAAGTTCGTCGTTCTTCATACAACTTAGCGTTCAAACTAAAAGTCGTTGCTGAAGCAGAGGCCGTCGAGAACAACTCAGAGATCGCTAGAGATTACGGAATCAGTGAATCGATGGTGCGTCGCTGGCGAAAAGATCAAGCGAACCTGTTTAATGGTGAGTTTAAAATGTTAGCAAAGCGAAAGACGATGGGCTGCTTTTCGCCAAAGTATCCTGAATTGGATCAAACACTACTGGACTGGTTTTCAGGGCAGAGAAGTCAAGGTAAGTCTTTCGTTTCTTTAAAACAATGAAAAGCTTCGATCAGCTGATATCTGTCAGATAGTGTTGCAATGTTTACACAAACCGTGGGAATGACCGCTTCTGATTGGCCAGTTTTTCATGTTGTCAAAACAAGTCAAACAATTGATCTCTTTTATCTTTTACAGGAATTGCTGTAAGCGGATTAATTCTACGGCTTAAGGCGAAGGAGATGAGCAGTGATCCAGACTTCAAAGCCTCACTGGGTTGGTACCAGAGATGGAAAAAGCGCCATTCCATCAGCCTTCGCACTAAGACAACCCTGGCCCAGCGACTCCCACAAGATCTGGAAGAAAAGACCATCCAGTTCCATCGGTTCGTGATCGCACTTCGGCAGCGGTTTGGCCATTCGCTCTCTGTTCTCAGTTTGATTTGTTGGAAAAATCGCTCGGCTTATATGCGAATAAATACGGTAGTTTGTATTTCCCTGATCCTTTGGCAACACTTAAGATAAGTTAGACTTGTACTTTCTACTGGACTGAGTGTTTCCGTGTGACACCTTAGGTAAAATATGCAATCACACAA